ATATATATATATATATATATATATATATATATATATATATATATATATATATATATATATATATATATATATATATATGCAGTACTATTCGGCCACTCATATTTTTGAGTATATTCCAAATACTTTTATAAAATCTAGTATCCGAGCGATGATGTTATTTCCATAAAGAGTTTCTTCAAATTACTTGTTTCGTAACATTGTTTCAGCACTCGATTCAAGTTTGTACACTCAAGAAGTTTATGTTTATCGGTGAATCTTTTTTGGCATGTAGTACATAGTGAGGATTCTGTGCCCTCCAGTAAATGATGGTGGGTGATGTACCTGTGGTTCATGTGAAGGCGGATCAACACATTTGTATTCTTCTTTTCTTGTATTTTGTGCTCCATTCTCCAATAGTAGATTTTATGCTTTGTAGTTTGTTATTAGTGTATTTATTCCAATGATTTTGCCACTTCTTAAAGGTAATTCTATTTACTACCGGTTTATAATCGCTATAGGGTTTTTGTGTTTTTGCTTTTGTCTCTTTCATAGCATTCTTTGCTTCCAAACCTGCCTGGTCATTTCCTGGTATACCAACGTGGCTTGAATCCAGAAAAAGATTATTTCTTTATATTTTTTTGATAAATGATATACTCTGTTAAGTACTTGTGTGGTTATAGGCTCAGTAACATTTTTTTTATTTCTTAAGGCAGTAAGTGCAGACAACAAAGAGTGGATATCTCCGACCCAGCAAAAGTTTGTAAAAGAAAATAAATATTTTCATATTATAATTACACTTGCAGGTTTTTAGCAGCCTGGGGCATTGTCGCCCCTAACATTTTTACTAACACACACTGACGGAGCCCAACTTTCCCCACGCCGGTTCTGAGGAAGGCACAGTGGATAGCGGTTTAAACTGAGGAATCGGAAAGCAGAGTTCGAAATCCAGTCGGGTCCATTACATTCACTCACATGCTAATATCCTTGGTAAAATTATAAATCCTCTTCTCCCCTGCCACGAGATATGGGTAAATAGCAGAACAGAATGTGCTCTAGAAACTTAAATGGCAAACGGTCTAGAAAAAATAAAAAAGAAAAGAACTATGTAAAAATACATTTTTTTTTCTTCATTAATGTGTCTATACTTTGCGTGTAGTGATTAAATTAAGACGAAAAATTATTTCATTTGTAACACAGACTGATCTCTATTATTTCAAAGATGATTTCCGCCCGTCTAGAGGTATTGGAAATTTTAAATGTTCTTACCGCTAACAATGTTGGCAGCATTTGATAACTTAAGGCTAAATTCTAAATGTCTTTGCGCCACACCTTTCAAACATTTGTCACTGTTGTGACTTTGGGCTTCACTTAGTTAGCTATTTAAGTACGTTGTATGTATGTGTCAGTCGCCTTCTCCCGAATACAGACACGTTAAAGACGTATTCGTTTGATTGCGAGGAGAAGCAAAAGAAAAGATTTCTGAGAGACGCTATTTGATTTCAATGACTAAATAAAACCACAAATCACAAGGAAGCGAAAAGGGACGTCGATGTAGTGCAATGGTTACCACACTTGTCTCACTAGATTAATTACGATTGATTAGTGAGTTTGATCCTCACTGGGTTCTATTCACTTTCGCCTAGAAAATCACTATAATAAGAAAGATCTAAGGGTACTTTGACGTGTAAGTTTTAGCAAGCTTGTCTCGTTACAACAATTACAACTGTGTAGTGAGTTTGATCCTCACTGGATGCCCCATACTTTCGTCCTTGTGCCACATATATGCTACGCTAAGAAAATCCACATAATGAGAAAAATGAATGAAAGAAAGAAGGCATGAAAGAAAGTGAAGTGATCAAGTTATCAGCACTTAGCTTCCGTTTCAGTGAAAATGTTGAATCTTTTATATTTTTACACACATAATTCTTTAAATAACGACCTGCAATCATGCTGATGGAACGGGATTATTTCTATGGGGATTTTTTCTTTCTTCGTAAACTATAAGCAAATTGACTTTTATTTAATTGGTATCCGCTCAATATAAATATATCTGAAAAGTTATTAATTTTCAGGTGCGGTGTGGAGTAACCTATAACGGTCTCGGAATGAGAAATCGTAGAGCCGAGTTCGAATTCGGGTTCATTATAATCACTTACGCGCAAATACTCAGTGGATAGGTATGGATCTGTCTCTACTCTCCCAATTATGGTTTGAATAGAGTAACAGTCAGTGTTGGCAACCAATCTACCACAAAAAGAAATGGCGACCTACTGCGAGAAAATATTCTGCCGAGTCAGTCATGAATCGGGAGAGACATTGTCGCCTAAGCGATTACAAGGTATGACACTTAAATGACTGACTGGATAATTTTCAATAAAAATATGTTTTTATATCGTCTGAAACTGATTTATTATTAGAATATGTTCGAATAACATATCCGCTAAAATTTGAGTTCGTTCAATGTTTACATTTAACCAAATCTTATTTTCTAAATAATTTCAAGTTTTCTATCAAAAACATCTCTTCAAAGGACACTGCAATTTGGATTGCAACACTGACAGAATTGAAAGGACAGTTATAATAATATTTATTTTACATATTTTCCAGCTTTGTAAGAGAAACAAAATAGAAAATGTTATCAAAAATATCTTTCATCAGAGCGATAGTCCAGATGGATATTTATATTCAAATGTAAATATTTTTCTTAACTTCCCAAGGGAGAAAAGGATCTTGATTACAGAGTCAATTATGTTAGTAAAAATATAGACGATTTGAAACGTAGAAAAATAAGACGTTTTGGAATATAGCAGGAGTCCTTAAAAAAATCTCTTAAAAGAAAACTAAATTTTAGATAACAGTTCTTTTAAACATTTATTTACAAACCTCTTCATAAATAAGGATTTTTCGTGTGCACATGAAAATTTGCATTTAGATCTGTTACGCAGATATCAAAATCGTGCCATTACCAACCGGCGTATATATATATATATATATATATATATATATATATATATATATATATATATATATATATATATAACGACTATGAATGATAAAAAAAAAATATACTTTCGATATATGTATTTTATAGGTAAAAATATTCAATATCAGAGATATAGTGCATATATATATGTATATATACAGAGAGAGAGAGAGAGAGAGAGAGAGTAGGTATTTGTTGGGAAGATTTCTGTCTGTCTGCCTGTCGCTCTCTTTTATATATATATATTTTTTCTCTGTAAACGATACGCACACATACGCACTCACACAAACACACACATATATATTCCGTAAATGACATTTTTGATGGATGGCCTTGTTTGAATGGACATAATCGTATATTAAATCAAATTAATGACACAGAAAGTTTAAAAAAATATGCTTTACGGCAGGGATCGAACCTGCACTATCTTACCCACGGATATCTATATTTATAAAAGGCAGTGTGTGTGTGTGTGTGTGTGTGTGTGTGTGTGTGTGTGTGTGTGTGTGTGTGTGAGAATGCACGGCCGCAATTTTCGACGGATTTACATGCACATGCTTCAAGTTAGCGGGAAGGTCAAGACCGACTTTGCATTTCCCAACTCCCATCGATAGTGGAAATAATCGATTTTTCATGCTTCTACGGCAGTTTTCATGTAGTTTGCTGCCATTTTGTACTGGCCAGGGTGAGAGCCAATAGCTGGCTGCCACAAATAGTCAGGAAGATTCTATTGGCCAGCGTGAGAGCCAACAGCTGACTGAAACGAATGTTAACTAGCATGCAAAAAAAAATCGATAGCAGCATTCGTCACAAGTGGGAAAAATTTAAATCTTCATGGCACTTTACTCCAATTGGCTCATTCGCTTGTTTAAACTCAACGTTGATTCTGATTCCGCAGAACTGGGTTGGGTATGGAAAAATTATTTGTTGTTAACATTATTTTTTCATTCGGTTTTTCCAGTTACGAGTCCTTTTTTAAAGTTGATCGTTTTGTGTTCATTTTGTTTAGTTCTTTTTTTCGTAACAGATTTAATGTTTAGTCTAGAGCTTAGAAAAAATTCGCAGTGTGAGATAGGCAAGAAGTAAGGCATGTAGCAACATCAGCACGGAAAAAGCACTCTTTAAATGCAAGGAAAGGCAAAAATATTTTAAGTCAAGTGATAGCGATTGCTGTATGAATCGTACGATTTTTGAATCAAGCACAGGCAACGCCGGGTCATGCTGCTGGTTATATTAATAAAAATAAAGCTCAATTATAAGTAGGTATATCAGTAAATACTTAAATGTAGATTGACAAATGTAAATTCATATAAATATCTGTTTTTCAACAGATCGTTTATCACCGATGTGCATAAAGCAAGGTTTCTATTTTAACCACATATTTTAAAGATAAAGAAATGGAAATCTCGCTTCGAAATATAAGTATAGGAAAATTCGAAAAGCTTGATAACGATGTCATGTTATAATAGCTATTCAGATCTTTAAAATAGGGGTAATATTAAAAAAGAATTAATATTAGCTATTATAACATGACTTCGTTATCAAGCTTTTTGAATTTTCCTATACTTATATTTTGATTGGTCATTCTAGCTTTTGTAACAACGTTTTCCCCTTGCGAAGGATCGTTAATTTATTTGAAACTTTTAAAACCATTTATTTTACATTCAACATCATCACTTGATAACACACCGGAGGTGTAGAAACAAAATGGCTATTTTTGTAGTGATTTTATAACATATTTATGTTATAACTTTTTTAAAAATAAATAATATATATATATATATATATATATATATATATATATATATAATTTTATGAAAAAGATGCTTTCTAACAGGAATCGAAAATGTATCTCATTTATTTCCTTCAGGAAAGCCATGTAACGGGGGAGAGCTATGGAAGAAAGGTTTATTCTCAGTTTGTATTTCCCCCATTATGGGCATTACTATATCAGTGATATAATAGCACCGTATTTCACAGATGATACAACATGACTGAAAGAAAAAGGAATGACAAATATGCTTTGTTCAAAGAGAGCTTACGGTCAAATCACGCTGAAAACACCGGTTCTCGTTCGATCACCGAAGTTAAGCACCGTAGAGCCAGGTCAGTACTTAGATGGGGGACCGCTTGGGAACACCTGGTACTGTAAGCCCCCAAAGTCCAACCCTTACCTCACAGTCGGTGGGGGGTGTAAACGGTAGTGTCAGAGCTATGCCGCCCGGAATTTCGTTCCTGGTAGGGCCACCCAAGTCGGACAGGTCTGACACACACGCCGGCTAACAAGGGCGCTGGTGAAAATCCAAGGAGCGTCTGCATCGGCAACCGGCGGCTTCTGGTCGTTCCTGTCTCTGCGTCTGTGGGAACCCCGCGGCAAGCAAGAACGTTATCCGAGTAGGCCTGGGTACCCTACTTCTGTAATTTATCCCAAGAATCTTCTTCTCATAACAGGAAGAAGCCGGCTCAATCCGCTCAGGGTGAATGCCGCATCAGTACAGTACAGTTTGTTCAAAGAGAGACTTTTATACCACTAAGTCATACACAAAACTATATTAAACTCCGAGTAGTGTTACCGACGTTAGATTTGCATGTTGAGAGCCGCAAGCCGGAGTTTCTTTCTTTATCTGAGAAAGATATATTCTTAAATGGGAATTGTATCATGTACTTGTAAGCTGCGGTGGAGGCAGATTTAGCCTCAGTCAGGGACATGTGTCCCAGGCTAAAAAAGCAAGCGCTAGGTTTGCTTGCTGCAAACAACCTGAATGACTGGCCACTCTGGTCACTGCATGAAATAATGTCACTAAGCGGCTGGCATATGACCCAGGTGACTTATCTCAAACAAAGGAAGAGAATTGCCTTCTGTATCTCTACAGCCATTACTATAGCTGAAGTATGCCGTGAAGAATTTGACCAAAGGAGACCATTTTTAAAAATCAAGGTTAAAATCTATTTAAAGAAACGCTAATTTCTCATTGAAACTTTTACGAATCTGAATCTGTTAGAATCCTTATCGTTCCCGAAACATAAACACATTAAATATTACATGGATTTTTTAATGCGATATCATTCCATATTATTATATTTTGTTAGTGAGTGCCCTATATGTATTTTTTTAATTTTCTAACAAAGGTCTTAAGCCTGACTCAAGGTCTAAGCCAGTTGTTATTAATTTAATAAATTCAGCAAAAGTATTAATCGAAAATAGGCAGCAACATCTCCTCTAAATATGAATAAAGCAGATGAACTGTTCATGTAATTAAATCAAAAAAGAAGTTTATATTTAGTAATGACAAAAATCATTTCTTAAACGATACTGAACAACAGTTGAAATTATGATTCCTTTTTATTTTTTTATATATTTTGGTAAAGTATCGGGTTTGTCAATGGTGCAGTGGACGTTTTGTTTAATTTGAGACAATTCTGTCGTTCTGAATCCGAAAACAACAACCAATTTACACTGTTAGCTTTCGATTTTTTAGTTCAAAATTGCAAATACTGCATTAAAATAGTCAAGTTTCTATTAGAACAATGATAATTGGTCATCAGTTATCCACAGAAATAAATATTGTCTCAAAAGAAATTAAAATTCACAACATTTATCGGAGGTTGACTCTGAGTTTCGTGGTTTCGTGGTTACTTATTCGTCATAACTGAGACAGGAATGATTGCATAAAGTATTACGAAATTAATTTGTAATAATTGACACAATCATTCAGTTATCAATTAAACATTGTATTAATTAAATTGTTATTAATGATGCCAATGGAATTTCTATGACATAGCATCAATACAGTAAAAAAAAACGAATTAAAAAGAAATGTGATCCCGACTGTTAAATGCAGGAAATGTAATTGTGTTTGCCAGTTGAATGATTCGGCTATCATCAGACACTTAGTAAAACTTATATTTTTTCTTAATTGTGTGTATATATATATATATATATATATATATATATATATATATATATATATATATATATGTGTGTGTGTATTACAAAAATTATAATAAAACATTTTGAAATCTTTACAAAAACTTTCAAGTTTCAATACTACGATTATATTTCTTCAGGTGATGGTAAATAACTGGTCATTAAGTGATTTTTAAGGAAATTTAAAAATAAAGTGTTACCTCTTTTCCCATAAAATTGTGGGGGCATAATTTTAATTTTAACCTTTTTTTATATTTCCTTAAAAATAATTTAATCACCAGTTACTTACTATATCCTGAAGCAATACAAAGATAGTATTGAAATATGAAAGCTTTTGTGTAGCTATTTCAAAATGTTTTGATTATAATCTCTTATAATAAAAAATATAATCATAATATATTGCTTTAATTTGTATTAAGCTAAACGCTACAAACAGTGGATTTTTACTTCATCTGTTCTTTCTGTCATTTGTACACACACACAGACACACAAACGCATATATATATATATATATATATATATATATATATATATATATATATATATAAATATATCATAATCAAAAAGATATCAACAAACTTGGGACAATTTGGTGGTGCTGAATAAAAAAAGATCAAACATTTTCCTCTATTAGCTTTTGATGTCTTGCTCTAAAATGGCAAATCCTACTAAAAAATGATCATGTTTGGGTTAAGCTAATGTACTTCTCTTCAAGGTTAGGCTGGGATTTAACATCCATTTCCGCCATCGCCTCCAGATTGAAGAAAAGCAGTAAGCAGGGAGGATGATTATCCCGATGTTCGGATGTGAGCGCGTGCCGGCTATGAATAAGGTCACTGTAAATAGGAAGTAACATAAATGCTCATGTGAAGTTTGATGACTAAATATGACAAATATAAAGCAATAAGAATTTGAATATTGAGAGTAATTGGTAGTCAGGGCGATAATTTATTATCGGGGATGCTTAGTAGATGTGTCCCGTTGTAAGTTCTATTATTAGTCAGCCGTCATACTTTTGTCCCATTTTCATTGTTACCGTTCTTCCATAACTGTAATGTCCTGGTTGAATCTTTCATCGCGCTCATCAATAACATCTCCCAAATTAAATTATATTAATGACAAACTCATGTTTCTATGACAAATGTATAGCACAGGCTATGTAAAGTGATTATATCCAAGGACTTTATATGGTTTCCATTCATAACTTAGTACAATACAATTACACTGGCATTATAATCTGATATTATAGTAATATAAAATCAGGTGTTTGAGAAAAGAGGTATTCAGTAACATACACGATTTATTAAGGGTGACATTCAGAATGACTTTGAACATTATGTGAAATTTGGATATGGAAAGTAATTTTTTTTGTTGTAAAAACTTACACAACTTCATTACAGCAGCATGTGAAACTGACCAGGAAAATGGATTTTATTTTTGAACTAAGCATCCGAAAGATTATTTACGAAAAAGTTGTGTTGCAGCAAAACTAGTGGTATTGGGGGGGGGGTCAATCTCTACCACTATACCAACTGTATCCGTTGCTGTTATTATTAACCAGTACATCAAAATAGGACATACCAATTTCAGAGTAAACACTTTGAGGCATAAGCATTTGATAGCTTTTAGGCCTTTCCTAATGTTGTAAATTATGGCTCGGTGTGCACAGGATTAATGCCACACTTTAACTTATGGTTTTCCATACTAAATGTCCATGACTGGTTTTAATTTATGAGTAGGCTCAAGAGATAATGAATTTGTCTAGGGTCTCCTTCACTTTGTCAGATGACTGTGGGTGTATGGATTTCGGTGAATATAATTCATTAAAATGTTTGATTTAATATAAAGAAATCCGGTCCAATTTATGTATATTTTTATTTAAAATTCTGTTTCCTACGAATGTACATAATTTAATGTTCATGGATAAGTCGTCGTAAATAAAATGTTAACTAAAGAAACATTTATTGTCAGATTTAGAAAGAGGTAGATGACAGTTATTGGACACATTATGAGGAAAGTGGGATTGGAAAATTTAACTCTCACAAGGCATATCGAGGGCAAGAGACATAAGGGACGGCAGCGGGCTAACTACATGACGAGCTGTGTTAATGCATGGCGGAAAGGCTGCTAAGTGGTATAAGGAGAGTCAGGATCGTCCACGTCCTGAAGAGACATGGAACATAGAAGTATAGTCCTAAACATTTTGAAAGAGAAATTTCGGTAATTCATTTTTACATTAACTGGGTCCTATCCCTGATATTTTGGAATTAAACCTGCCATCATATATATATATATATATATATATATATATATATATATATATATATATATATTTCTTTTATTCAGATTCAATTTTGAATTTGTTGATGCTAAAGTTTTTGGCCTATGTTTGCGTTATTCATAAGACAAGTCGGAAGCAAAAATCTTCTGTATCTCTCCTCCTTCTCACGTTCCGTTTTTCTCTCTCTCTCTCACTACAAACACTCTCTCACACTCACCTGTATATATATATATATATATACATATATATATATGTGTGTGTGTGTGTGTGTGTGTGTGTTTGTGTGTGTTTGCCTGTATATGTATCGAAGCGTTGATGTAAATAAATGGTTCTCTTCTACAAATATAAATATTAGGTTACATATATAATACGATTATTTACATACGGTAAGCAGATATGGCGCCGGACCGTCGGGCTACAAAACTATTTATAAAGGATTCACAAAGAATTATAAAAATTTTAAAAATCGCTTCACATGTGTTTCTTCATAACCATAAAAATCTTGAAAAAAGAAACAACAGGATTTAAGAAAAGCAAATTCCGATTTATATGAACACTTGGATCAGATCAAGTTTCGAAAAAGAAATGTAATTGCATTTTTATAATGATGTACATGAACAACTCTCTTTCAGAAAACAATGGCTTCAGGATTCACTTGCTGAGAAAAAAATAATAGCCTTTCCATTATGCGACGGATTTGTTGCTATTTTTTCGGTGAAATAGAAATATCCTAAATTATGATATTATAACAGTAATGATTATAATAATGCCAATATTGATGTACACAAAATTATATAATTCAATGATGGTCTCCTCAATCTATAGATGGTTAGATTTAACCGCATGTTCTATGTTTAGAGTTCCTTCTGTCGAAATTATCACCTGTGGAATTCCCTTCCGACTCCATGCTATTTAGCCAACTTTTTCAAAAACTGAAATGCAAC